GGGTAGCAACGACAGTCGAACCAAACACACTACGAGATTCCAAACGACGATGGACGGGTTGGGCAGTCAACTCGCTATTCCTGCTAGAAACAAATCTAGCCTTGCTATTAGGTATCTAGGCGCTTCCCACTGGCTACCATATGGAGAACAAGGGGACAGAACAATTTCCTTCCTTGAATTTTGATTCAGGATACACCTCTTTGAATTCAGTCTTTTTATCCTTGGATTCGTGTAAGTGGACCAATAATAGCCTTATTTGAGGCGACTACACATCAATTTGTGTATCGACAGAGCGAGTTCTTTTCGATGTGTCTCGATCTCGTTTTTAGCAGCATTTATCATGGAAATGGTCTCTGTTAGCAAGCTATTTGCGTCCAAGCAACATTGCTGAAAAAACCACACGCAACCACTTTTGTCTGGCCGTAGACGTAAGATGCGTGAAAACTTCGTGGTACTATCCTGTACACTCATCGCGATGCATGCAACTTTCAACGGAATGTCAACAGATTAGGCGCTGACAATTTCTAACTTTGCAGTGTCCAGCTATCAAACAGAGGTTTTAAAAAAAGCAAGTAGGTATGATAATACCCAGAAATTGATGACCGAAAAATTGGAAAAAACTGCAAATCGTTAGAATCAGTAGTGCTAAGAAATACGACAGTAACAATGTGCTCATAAGTGCCGGCAACTAACTACTTTGGTATTGATTCATAATAATAGACTAAAACAATGAAATTTACTAAGCGAAGAAAAACACTCCTATCCTCTTAAAATAGTGCGAGTGATGGACATTAACACGAAAATGATCGAATAAATAAAAAATGACATCAAACATATGGTTGAATTTCAGTTAAAACTGTCGTATAGAAATGAAAAAGTTTGACTGCTAAGTAAAATGCAATGAATGAACATTCATTTCATATCTTTGTTATATCAATTCAATGAATCTATCATCTGTCCGTATTTTAAATGTCGCCGTTACAGTTCGTCTTCATTGGATGGATGCAACTACGCCGTGAACGTCCTTAATTTCACTTGTAAAATTGTGTTTCTACGTGAATTAGTTGCTGCGACTGTGATTATCCACCTTTAAACATCTGTAGAAACATCAATAACAGCAAAGTGTTGCTATCGTAGTCATGATTTGTTATATTTTTGGTATTATATTCTGCACTTGCAGTTGTAAGCCTCAGTCAGTAATTATTTTTAACAGTGTTTTCTTTGGCTGTGTGTAGTGATATATGCGGTGCGACTGACGAAATCTTGTCTTGTTTCACAAAGATATTATCTTATGAAGCAATTGAGGACTTACATCGGAATCTTGATGGTGATAAAAATGGAGAAGTCGACCATTTCGAAACTGAAAAGGTAGGGCAATTCAGAATGTGTTCTTTTACTTCGTGTTATACGACAACAAAAGCCTCGTAGGAAATGAAAAGCGCCCAGTCCCCACTCGTGAAATTTTATCTTACATTTATGACTAATTAATCCTAAGGGTCAGCAGAAATAAACATTTTCGTGCTTACTTGTCATGTTGCAGTTTGTTTTTTGCTGTTAGGAGAACTATAAAAAGTCAAGTCAGAACATTTGTAAGTGGCTTCTTATGTATTTAAATCAAGTTGCGGGTTTGAAAACTCCCTAGTATTGTGCGAATTTCGAAGCCTGTGTTCCTTAATTGGAAATAATCACCCTCTTGTTGCTCTAATATATATAGTACTCTGGACCGTGGTGGTTTGTTTATTTCCATAAAGTAGTTGAATTTAAATTAAGTACATTATTCTTCACATTGAAGTATTGCACCTAACTGCAAACTAGCTGGTTTATTCATCACTTAAAAACATGTATTTTGCATTTGGAATGGCATATATTTGGAAGTACTTGGCTGTCAATTGATTTCCGAATGCCTATAAATGACGGTTTACAAGAAAAAAAGGAGACTACTTATCTGTTTTTGAGGCTAGTTCTTAAATTATGTCCTTTTTTAAACTGGTCCTACTCATTCACTGAGTACAAGGTTATAGACGTGTCTTTGAGGCACAAGTTTTGCTTAGTATAACGACCCTGCTCATATCAAACTGTATGGTCGTAGTTAGTGGGAAATGACTTTGTGGTTAAGGCGTCTTACTTTCAACAAGTATATCCCAGGTCCAAACTCCTCTTCATGTAACCTAGTTTAGGCAACCGAGTAGTATTATTATCATCCATTTAGAATTTGGCTTACATTCAAGTAGCTTTTGATTTAGTTTAAAAAACCTACCTCGACGTCTGATGTCGGCTGTATAGGAATAGGGTTGAAGTTTAAATATAGGATCAGTTCATGAAGTCATTAACTGTTGGTATGAGCCATTTCAGTAGATGCAGACTACCTGGTCGGAGTCTGCGACAGCTGTGAATAGTATTTGGAGACGTTGGGTGACGTGATTCCTTATTAGTCAGTGGCGCAGATGCACCCACTCTTTGTCTGTGCTTCTGTGCCGAGTTTAGAGACCACTTCATATTTTTTTACTCACGAATTCGTTCGCCAAGTATTTTTCACCATTAGTGCTGTTATTGCTACTTTGTTATGGGTCTTGGTAATTTTATGTTGCATTGATGTGGTGTGGCAACCGAGATCGACGGGCGTTTGTGGCAGCTGCCGGGTTGTTTATAACTCATTGACCCCGCAGACATACCAGTTGTTGTTCAAACCCTACATTGTAGCATCTAAAAAATATTGAAAGGAGACCGATATTTAGTGTCACGATGCAACCCTAGACTCAGGAACTTTTATGGATCGTTGCCTTTTTATTTGATTATCTACGATCTGTTTCCTTTCGGGCTATCTTGGCGGTTTTTTTAAAGAGGTGGTTTAGTTTTTTGTAAATATCCTAAATGACAACTAGTAATTGTTCATAACTCCTTTTATGTTGACTGGTTATACCATTTATCAAATTTGACCTCATTTAAACTGACTTGGAATGAATAGGTACGTAATATAGTTGATTTAGGTCCCTTCCAAAGTTTTACCATATGTAACTCGTCAATTTCTCAAGATTTCTCAGTTCTACCGTTTTATTTAACTAAACTGAAGTACTAGACTGTCTAGGGGTGGCGTAGTGATTAAAGCATTCAGTTTCAAACTATTAAGTGATTACAGGTTTTAGCATTCATCCACTTCAACTTGGAAAATCAAGCAGCACCTCTAGCCGTTACACAAGTTAGACTTAAACTCAAGCATATAAGCATACGTTTGGTGAATTACATTATTTTTGTAGCTAATTTTTGTGTCTTGCTGTAATAAAAACAAAAATTAAAATAAGTTTAACTTTCGATCAGGACAATTTAGATAGTAGCAGGCTTCTTTTGTGAAGCTGGCAAAATCGTTATAAGTCGTTAATCAGAGACAGTACCGTTAGTTGATTTCGAATACGTTGATGTAAATGTGTAAGAATATTGTGGAATGTATGTTTTTTATTCACTTGTTTCTCGTTCTTCCTAACATATTATGATCTTTGATTTCTTTCTATTTTGTTGGAAACTTTGGGTTTTCAAGCTATTGCATTAATCTCCCAAAAGGATTGTACTCGTTTGTGCACAGCACATTATATCTATTCACTTGTTCTAATGCATCCATACAGTTCTCTAGATAATACATATGTTTTGGAAATATGTTTGAGGTGTAGGTTTACATTTTATCACGAATCCCGTAAGATGCGTACAAATGTATCACTAAATTTTAATCAGTGCATGTTATTATTAGGTGTAATGTTAACGACTAAGGGTAATCTTTCGTCTAACCTTTTTTGCTATAGACTACATTCTGTGTAGTCCTTTTACTATGTGTTCAAATAGATAAACAAATAAATTTTACTAAGCTTTCAGATGTTTGCTTTTCTATTTAGCTACAGTTTTTTCACGTTTTTATTGTCTGAAACTGTATGCACCTTTTAAAATTCAAACTACTATTGATTTTAGTTTTTAAGGAAAGAATTCAATTCGGGCGATGCTGCCAAGAAATCACGTATGTTAAACAGCGATGATCCTCTTATTAGTCTTACAGACTTGTGGCAGATGTGGAGAAATAATCCTGGTAATTTGGCTCTTAATTTTTTATTCGTAGAATTGTTGAAATGGTCCTACTTCTCTAACAGTTGCCATTTTTGTTGAGTTGTGCATTGTCTTTCTAACTGTTTACGATGTATTAAATTTTTACTAAGTAATCGTACTCTTATTATCACCTTTATTCCTCTCCTTTGAGGTCATGATTATTTATGTTATTAATTGTTTGATGTTTTTCTGTCATTAAAATCATACTCTGAATAGGTGAAAAAATCAATAACTACTTCGCGAGTATTTTTGTGTTTTAATATTAGGCTACCAATATAGGGGCTAAGTTACTGGATATTTGTCTGTAAATCCCTCTAGATGACAGTCGTTTCTGGTCGAAAAATTATGTCGGGTTTCATTTTTAGGATTAATGAACTTAAGATATTGAGGATTTTACAAACATTGTATAACAAGTAGAATAATACGATAAAGTTACCAAAGATATCTAATTTTCTCAGTTGTGCTAATTAGCTCCATTCTTTACAATAATTTTAATCATTTAAGAGGTCTGGTTGATATATTTCACTAAGTGTCTAACAAAGATTTAAAAGTTAAGTGTAAAACGACTTCAGTTGACAGTTTTTATCATACAGCTTAATTATTGGAGATAGTGAGTTGACTTCGGAATTCATTCTAATTTATGTTCACTTTAATAAAACGTTCTCATTGCATAATTACGAATATTTGGAGGTTCTTCGTTGTTCTGTAAAGAAAAATAGTCAGCATAACGGTTAGACATCCATATTCCTCTTTTCTTTAGTAAATATAACGCTTATTGCAGTCATTATTATGTCCGATATTCTTAATTTATGTTTTTACCTCTAGCATTCAACTGGACTGTGAGAGACACTACTCAGTGGTTAGTTAGTCTGGTGGATCTCCCTCAGTACGTTGATTTATTTCGTCAACATAATTTAGATGGTCGTTCATTACCACGGTAAATTTCCAATATTAATTTTTTTTACAAAGTATGATTTGGATAAAATTTCATCAGGACTTATATTTCATTATTTATGTGCAGGAATCATGTGTTCAGTATGTCTTTACAGTCGTATGCACAGTGCCCTCTTAAAATCCATATTATTTTGCGTCATTATTGTATTTACATTAAAAAATTTGTGTATTGTTTTTATTATGAGTGCAAATGAGAACTGTTTTCTCCATTTTATTCTTCATGTAATTGTAGTAGATTCAATCAGTCTTGCTTTTGACGCAGGTTTTTCCAGTGGAATTAGAATTTCATACTTTACCAATAATTCGAACACATTTCTTTAAAATAATATACACTGATCTTCATAATCTTCATGAATTTTGCCCAACATTTCTCCTAATCGTTGTTGTGTAGAAATATTCGTTGAGTTATTAATTGCGGGAGAAATAATCACTTCAAGTTGGCCTCATTTAGCGACATGAGTTGTTTGTCAAGTTTATGTTATTCAAATAAAGCAACCTCCATGTTTATTAATTTCGGATTACCATTTTGTACAAACTAAGTGTTTTGTGCTCAAGATTGTAAGATGAACTAGCGCCTTCAACGCAAATATTGTATATAAAAACACCGGTAATCTAATGCTCGAATCCTTCTCATATTGTTTACTTTAGGGAAATATCTTTCTTGACCTTCAAGTGACTCAAAGTCTGGTATATTTACCATTCGGTTTAAAATATATTTAGAAAATGTTATTTCCATTAAACATGTACATACATGATCAATCATTGTAATTTTAGTGTACAGTGACACTTTCAAACCTTTTTGATGACCAAAATACCACAATTCGAAGAGATCAAAAAACAATCTTGATTTTGTTGTCAGCATACTAATTGTTGACTGTCTCAAATATTATATCAACGTATGTTTTATTATCTCAAAGTTGTTTTTATTCTAGTTGTTTAATTTTGCTGACTTTTAAAAAAACATTACAGTTCTGTCGTAAGTTGTTTGATAATGGGTCTAATTTAAAAATATTTATTCTGTGAACTTTTGTTGACAACCAACCAGTATTTAATTTTACTGAGAACAAGTGACAATTGCTTACTTCATATGAAGCAGATTTTTTCCGTTTTTCCCCTACAATAATTATGTGTGGTAGTTTATGTAGAATCAGATTGGACTTGATTAGTTTTCAAGCTGATATGACATGGATCAGAATATTTTTCTTTATCATTTTTACAGCTTGGCTATGCAAAATATGAGCTACTTAACCGATGTCCTGGGGATTCAGAATCCGATACACAAGAAGAAATTGATGCTTCGTGCTTTGGATATCATTCTGTTTGGACCTCCAAGACGTTAGTGAATTTTATCGTTAACTTAGATTGGTTTTATGATTTTTCATCTGACGTTTGGTGTGGATAGCTGGATATCATTTATGATACTTTCGTAGGGTACTGAAAAGATCTAACTCCTTTGAAGTTAAACTCTTCATTACGATATAAACAAATAAATCACTCACCAGATTCTTGGGTGTAACCCACTGTTTAAGTGTGAGGGCTAATGATACTGCCCGATCGATCTAACCGAAGAAAGTGGGGTGGATTTTGAACCAGGCGCTTAGTGGCATAAAATCGAACACTTCAACTGTTAAGACACCACTCGCACTTTAACTCCAATTCTTGTTCAAATGAGTACCACTAGTTACTTAGCGTTGTCCAGATTATTGAAGAATGTAAAAGCTTACATATTAGTACACTCGTAGTAGTTCATTACTTCGACGACGTATATTTAACTGGTTATTAGTCGATCAGCATTATATCGATATGTCATAGCTAAATCACTCCTTCCAATTTATTTATGGCCTAAATGTCATTTCCATTTCAAAATGTTTGTAAACGTGAGGTCATATATCTAGTATTTTGAGTCACAATGCATTTCAGTAACCTGTTGAGTTATAGAGTTGCGTAGAAGAGTAAATATATTGGTACAGTAAATCCTATGTGGGATGGTCACATCTCGAAAACCAGACTATAAAATGTGAAGTTACAGTAATCGAAACCCTTCGAAGTGTATCAATAATCATCCGGATGCTGTTGTAAAAAACGATAATAAGCAGGAGGAATGTATGTCTATCGAAAGAAGTTGCAAAGTATTTACATTAAATATACATATATATAGCCTTCAATCATCTATTTGCATCTTTCGGTGTTCTACAATCCGAACTGTCTTCTCGACTGGCCCCCAAGTGTTCTGCTAACACCGTGCTTAGGATGCACTGAAACTTTTCTTTGCCCGAAAATTCTTGAAACTTCGGCTCCGCGTCCCGACACATACTACTTACAAACATTCCTGTGAGTGTCGTCCACTACACTATCTCTTGGTAGAGGTTTCCGTGACGTGCATTACTTTAAGTAACTTGAGTTATGTATTCTAGTCATTAGGGCTAAATCACTAGGTAAAGTGACTTAGTCTCACGTGTATGACCTACCATTTAACTTCGATATTAGCGATCCTATGTCCTCAAGGGTTGTACACCATTTCTCAGGGTTAATCTCAGTCAAAGTCGAGTGATTTCGCATTTCTGAAATCTGTAGGAATGAGACGTTAGCATAATGTGAATGTCAACATTGGTCGCTTTTTCACGCAACATCAGCTAGTTCTGCTTATTATGCAACGGTGGTTTATTGGTTAAGACATTTAACTTTCAGGTTTTCGCCCTGCTTCACCTAATTAAGTTTGAGCCATCGAGTAGTTTTATTAGTTCTCAAATTCAGAGTGTCCCTACACTCAAATTTTCTTATTTTTCGTAGTTCATCAATATGGTTTCAACTATAGAACTACATGATTCTGTTGTCTTTATTATTGATGTTTAGATTTCAGTATAGTATTATATTTCAGATTATATTTAAAATGAATACTCATCCATTGAAACCCAACTACCATTTCAGCAGGAAATTGTAGTTGATGTAGGATCAGACTAGAAAAATCCTAGGAGCGGTTGAACAAATATATGAAATCAACTCAATAACTGATTGACTGTTAGTTTGGGCCTTGATATTAAGTACAAACTGCTTGGTCGAGGTCTATGAGAAAACTGTGATCAGTGGTTTGGGGTATTAAAGGACGTGCCTCGGAATCGGTCTAAGTGGGTCAAGAGGACTAAATTTACTTTCTTCTGGATTTTGCATTTCACTATTATTCCATACTTTTTGTTTCCAAAATTCATTCTTTTTTTTCAAACCACATTCTCTACGCTTAATTTTATTTACTATCGTTTATGTTACTATCATTTCTACTTCTTTGCTGTTGATCTCAACAATTTCATTGCGCCATATTATTAAGGTGTGGCAAACTGGAATAATGTACACTTGTGTCAGGCCAGACTTCGATTATGACTGACTGTCTGAAACTTTTTGAATGTCATAAATTACTGACTTACATCCATAGCTAGATTTACAGAAAATTATAGTAGGTAAATTTGTTAATTGCTTTATTTTTCATTGTTTATCGATCATCTGAGAAAATGGACATAGATCTGCATCCATAAACACTAATCAGCTGTTGGTTTGAAAATATTTAATCCAACCAAGTATAGTTTACTAGTTTATTGGAGCGAGGCATTTACCACCAGTAAATTTCAAGGGATTGCTTGTATTTAATCACAACCTATTGTGGTCATTTCCTACGTCTTCATTGAAACTATCAAATATAATAAAAAGACAGCACGTTTAGTTTTCAAGATCGCAAACCTACATTAATTAACCGAATAAATAATCTTCAACGTTCTGGGTGATTTCTCTTAATTTTTGTATAGGTAAAAAGTACGTCAACTTACAATATTTTTCATTGATACTATTGAGTTTATTCTATTGGTCTTAAACTACGACATCTCAATTTCAAAAACCTGATTCTTTCCAGTTTTCAACTGTAAGATATATCCATTGGTTTTCGGGGTTTTTCGTTAGTTGGTATTTATAGAGCTGTATCCAGGCTATTTTTTACAAATTTATGGTAAAATATGAACACAGTGAGATTCCCCATTTTCTTGATCTCAGAATTCAACGAATTATGGGTGAAAAGTTACAAAGATACATAAGAAAAACTTTTTTAAATTATGCTAGTCTTGCGCAGGATGAAGCTGGAATAATCGCATCTTTTTCCACCTCAGTTTTAGAGATAACAAAGTTGTGAGAATTATCCAGGTAATCAGTACTGAGTTAAAAGCGATCTTCGCAACTGCTTAACTTCTGTTACCTCAAACAAACTGCTCTCTGAAGTAACCAGTGGTCAGAAAGTTTTCTTCCACATGGAAATACAAAGTGTGTATAAAGTAGTTAGTAAAGGAATGGATTCAAATTTATTAGGATATCTTAAATCACTTTCTATTTATTGACTTCAATCAAATAATTGGATTGCGAAAGATATTTGTCAGTTTGTCACTTGGAAATTTTAATTCCTGCCATTAATATGTACTTATAAGTTGTCATTCTCTTTTAACCTTTTGACCTATATATTGACAATCTCCTTATTCTGCGCAATTTATGTTTCGTTCTCTTTTTATGTTTTATAAATGTAATAACCTAATCGGTAAATCTTCTTCATATTGCCTAATCACAGTTACCAATATTGATTATGTAACATTGTATTTCCTTCCAAATCAATCAATATTTTCCACTAATTCGTTTGTGAGTAGCTGGTGAAAGAAAATTAATTTGATCATCGCTCTTGGTGCGTTCACATTTGTGCAGCAAAATAATTATATGTGATGTTAGTGATTGGTTGTGTCTGTGCTGCAAGTGTTCATAGCAAACAGGATATTTGAAGCATCATAAGCCTTTCGCTACAAATAGTAATTGAAATACACTTGAATTTTCTATTGTGTTTTTCACATATGGATCAATGAATCTCCATTTTTTAAAAATTGCATTCTCATAATCGTATATCACGTATAGAAAGTAATTACGTAACGGTGGAAAACTCCGGTATATTGTCCTTTGTGCATTTACTACTAGAAATGTTTTTTTATCTGAAAACAAACAAATTATTATGATCACGAATCGATCTAAGCTGTACAACCGTTGTAAACCTGAAAGCACAGGAGGGCTGATTCGTCCTACTGTAGAGGACCTCAGCAGTGCGAAACCATGACCTTGAAGCTGGGAATCAAACCTAAGACTTTCACTCTCGCTCACCAATGTTTGACCTCTAAAACAATGAGTCAAGATTCAGTGGTGTGCAAGTCTAACTCCAGTCAATCTACAATATTCCGCGACCATATTACATTACATTCAGTGGGCACCTTTAGCACATCCAACACGATTTAGATCCACTGGCCACGGCTTTTCAATAGATGTCAAAGTACTATTGAGGATATTTTAGACCCTATATTAATTAAACTGGTTTCTGTGTGATTGTTACTAGTCGGTTTGTGTTCTTCCTTGAAAACTGGAATGATTAGAGATCAAAACCAGTCGGATAGGATTACACACGGTCCATAGAGTCTAGCTAAGATCTCAGTTCATCATATTTGTGTGAGAGCTGTGATACTGCCCGGGTGCCCAGACCGAAGCAGGTGGTTATCTTAGGGGGCCACACCACGAGCCTTTGACCTAAAGGTCTAACCCACAAGGCAGTGGAGCATCGTGAGGAGATGCAATCCCATGGTAGTCGGTGACCAAAAATTGGTTCATACGCCATTTGTTCCCGCAGGATACTGGAGCCCATGTGCACCATTGGTTTGGAATCCGGTTAAAGCGCTGGACATTCGCTTTTCATCCTCTCATTTTCGTAAACAACACCCATGGTGCGAGAAAGCAATGAGTAGGAATTCCCTGGCAGAGGCTGTATACGCGTGGCCGTGTGAGAGCATTTCGAGAGGGAGGGTGGGCCCACCCCACTCTCGGCCACATCAGGGCATTTGGGGGCAAAATATAATGAACTGTCGATAATTATGGAAAATAATTTTCTTGCTTCGATTAACGATAAAACGATACACATTATTATTACTATTACTTTTATTATTGTTATCATTATTATTATTTACTACGTCATTTATTCACTCACTTTTATTCCCACTCTATCTATCTTTATTTTTCGACTTATACAGCAGCTCGCCTATGGTGGAAATTCGGTTCTATCTAAACGTTTTCGAGTCACTGCCTGGTTGAAAATTGTATGCTACCACCGAATACGAATACTGAAACAGTTTTTCTGAAACCACGTGCACCATTCAAACTGGCTGCCTTCAACGTTCGCACACTTATGCAGGTCCGACAACAGATAGGGCTGGCTATGTCCTTGGAAAGTCTTGATATCGATGTCTGCTTTCTATCCGAGACCCGTATTCGATACTGGTGAAGTACTACAAATTCGCTCTCCATCTGTCGCTTCGTAAAGCTTGTTTTATGTGCGTTTATCCGGGGACCCTGTGGCATCTTGGTCTTGCTGGCGTTGGTGTCGCACTAAGCGATAGAGCTGAGGTAGCACTAATCGATTGGATCCTCATTAACAGTTGGTTATGTGCTGTTAGATTAGAGAGTTCCATCAAAGTGAAAAGAAATCGGCGTGAGAAACGATGTCTTTTGTCATCTCCGCACAGAAGAGAGTCGTTTAGGTGGCCATTGGGGACTCGTTGGTCGCAGGTCAGATAACGGGGACCGTCTACTGCAACTGTGCACAAACCACAACCTGTTTCTGGCTAGCACTAACTTTCGGCACAGTCATCGCCGATGTGCGACCTGGCGTCCTCCCTCTGCATCTCAAGCCTGGACTCAGATTGATCACATCGCGATCAGCCACCGCAGACGTGGTTATGTACAAGACTGCCGCTCATTTTGGAGTACCTATCTGGACTTTGATCATGCCCTGATTTGCGCCAATCTTACCTTACATTTCAGTGGACAACGAAGTGACCGCCACCAACGGATTGATGTCAGCAAGTTGGTTGCAACTTCTGTTGCAAGTATGTATCGAATCGAGTTGACTTCTAGGCTAACTACCATTCCACCGAAAAGTATAGATGAGCATTGGTTGCAACTTCATGACGCCAATCACCAACATCCATCGTCTGTGACGATAGGCAGAATTTTTCGAAGGGCAGTTCAACTGGCCTGCTGCTCCGGCAACATCGGTCAGACTGTCCTGCCCTCCATGGCCGGTGACGACTGATCCACCAAATGAGGAGGAAGTCCGCAAGGAACTCCAACTCTTGAAGCGTTACAAATCACCTGGCCCAGATGACTTACCTCCGGCTCTTTTTAAAGATGGTGGTGACTTTTTGACTAAGGAATTGACGACGTTGTTTACAAAGGTTTGGGAACTAGAGAGTGTACCAACGTCATGGAATGAGTCGATAGTTGTCCCTATCTTTAAAAAGGGTTCACGTCGTTCCTGTAACAACTATCGGGGGATAAGTCTACTTCCGATTGCGTCCAAGCTATTGGCTTCCGTCATACTTCGTAGGTTGTTCAAAACCCGAGAAAGATTGACTCGCGAGGAGCAGGCTGGGTTTCGTTCTGGTCGAGGATGTATTGATCATATCTTCACCCTCCGCCAAATGTTAGAACACCGCCATACTTATCAAAGGCCAACAATCGTAGTGTTTCTTGACATCAGGACTGTTCTCTGGGATTGTCTATTGAAGAAGGGTGTGCCTGAGAAGTTTATTAACATCCTAAAGGCCTTATATAAAAACACCTCAGGCAGAGTGAGGGCATACAACCACCTCTCTCCATTGTTCCATTCGAGCAGTGGGGTTAGGCAGGGTTGCCCAATCTCACCATTCCTCTTCAACTTTGCCATCGATGACATTCTGGAAACAGCTCTGATGAATGTAAGTAATGGTGGTGTGGATCTGTTGCCTGGAGAAAGACTTCTCGACCTTGAGTATGCGGACGATATTGTCTTACTGTGCGATAATGCCCAAGGCATGCAATCCGCACTTAATCAGTTGGCAATCAGTGTCCGTAGGTATGGTATGTGCTTTGCACCTTCGAAGTGCAAAGTACTTCTACAAGACTGGCAGGATTCTAATCCTGTACTCACCCTGGATGGTGAGCAGATAGACGTAGTTGAGAAGTTCGTGTATCTGGGTAGCTGCATAAGTGCTGGTGGGGGTGTGAGTGATGAGATCAATGCACGAATAGTGAAAGCCAGAGCGGCTTATGCCAATCTGGGCCACCTTTGGCGCCTTCGTGATGTTAGTCTGGCTGTAAAAGGTCGGATCTACAACGCGTCGGTGAGAGCAGTTTTGCTCTATGCTTGTGAAACCTGGCCTCTCCGAGTTGAGGACGTTAGACGACTCTCTGTGTTCGATCATCGCTGTCTCCGAAGGATTGCTGACATTCAGTGGCAACACCATGTCAGTAATGCAGAGGTTCGGCATCGTGTGTTCGGGCACAGAGATGATAATCAATTGGTGTCACCATCTTGAAACACCGACTTCGGTGGCTTGGACATGTTCTACGAATGTCGTCCCAGAGAATTCCACGTCGTGCATTATTTGCCGACTCTGGGACTGGTTGGAAGAAGCGGAGAGGTGGTCAGTGCATGACATGGTGTCGTGGTATGAAAGAAAGCTGCAAAGGACTGGCTTCTGTTGGTCCTTCACGACTCCCTGGTTGGGGTCCGAGAGATGGTGCTACACAGTGGCTAGAGACGTTATCAGATATGGCTCAGAATAGAAGCCAGTGGCGATCCTGCTGTAACCTTCTTTTACTTTCTTCATAAAAAGTGGTTGTGTCTCCTTACCTGAAAGATTTCTTCTGATTGTACCTTTCGTTCCCTCGTTACTACCACACTACCTTACACCAATCTTTTTTGATTGTTCTCTTTTTTTTGCGCTCCTTAGTTTTTTTTTTCTATTTCTCTTCGAATTCTCATTGTTTTGTGTGGCGCATATATATTGGCGCTCTCTTGTACCAATATTCATGTGTTCAAATAAATAAATAAGATCTCAGTTAATCAAACTGCTAAAACTGGACTACGACTACGCCCTTGGATTTTGTGTTGCTGCTTTTGGTTTTACCGTTCTCCAAACGACCTACCTGGTATGGTAGGGCCTAAAGGGTCATGTGTTCCATCTATTAGGTTATCCCGATCACCACGGTCCACGTAAACAACGTAAATACCATCGATTCAAAGTTGATGTCGTACAAGTATCTTTCATAAATTAAGGTAGAATGTTTGGCTTTTTTATTGCATACAGCGTTAGATCTTCCCCCGCAATCATTTTTTTCACATTCCCAGCATATTTTTCGTAGACGACAGAATTCCTAATGTTTTTTGCCAGTTGTTCATTGCGTAATTCAACTATTTCACTTACAGAGCCAGTACTTGTGTCAGGAAATGTTTCTCTAGTCACATTGTCAATAGGATTGTTATGCGTTTCGTTTGTGGGCTTTTCTCATTGGTTCTACCATGCATCAAGTTTTTCGGAGAAAAATTCCGTTGGTGAAAATCAGAAAAAATTAAATGTTGCTGAACAAACATTAAAACAACTTCAAAAAAGGTCTGTTACTTATGTGAATAATAATAATAATATGGAGTGACTTTTTGTCGATATATTTTCTTTATTATTGAAGAAACTATTTTTACTAAACATAGAGGTGATGATGAAAAAAATCAAGTATATGACTTCCTGTTATATCTTGAAAGTTGATTTCTTGATATACCGCGTATAACAGAACACTAGAACACCAAAACCCTTCCAAGTCGCAATAAGAAGACAGAAGACTAATGAGAGGAATATTATTCCAAACAGTGTCAATCATAGTACAAAATTGTTAGGTATTTATAGTTTTTAGTGAGAACGAAATCATCATTACAGTTCTCCAATCCGCATACAGGGGGTTATTAGCATTATCCAATCGGAAAGCTACACGTGGGAATTCTAGAATATTCTTCCGAAAAGTGATTGGATGGAACGTCTTCGGCTCCTTCTGAGTCTCTTACAGCCTCCTCGAGTTCACCGGTGGTCCGTCGTCACACTTCCACTTTATTAATTTGATGCAATAATTCAATGCAAGATAATGTGGAAGAATGACGCATGTGATTTTGTTTTTAAGTGTTTATAAGGATTTTCTTGTTACTCAGTTTATTTTGGTCTCTTTGTAGTGTGAGGTTTATTCATTATTATTTGGTTCAGGGCTTGTATACTTTTGTGTCAGAAGTCGATAGAATTCCGATATTCTTTAAACCATTTTAATTTCACGGTAGCAGATGAACACGTGCAGATTCAAAATATATCATTACATCTCTTAAAATATGCTACAGTTAGGTTCTCTGTAACCAGATTTGATATATTCACAGTGATGCTAGTTACATCACTAATGAATTTAATCTTGGCATAAAGACTGAACTTCTTATTATGGTACCTTTTTACTTAATTCTCAAAACAAATCGAACACCCTGAATCTGTATATTTGATATGGTACATAATTTCCATCGTTTGTGTCCAACATTAAGACAGTTTTTTTCTGTACCTCTAATCATAAATTTTGAGGGTATATTAGAAGATACTGCAGTAGTTTCAAATGTTAACCAAATATGTGTTCAATACATCAAGTAGCAGACCCTTGTATTGCTCGAATCATTACTTAGTGGTAAAAAAATTGTTCGATTTGTTTCACTGGTTTAGAATAATCAATTTTCTTAAGTTACTTTATATCACTAATTTATGAATTGAAATCACAGTCTTTGTAGGATAACTCTGTAATACTCCAATTTAAACAAAGCCTGTAGGAATGTTCTATTCTAATAGTATATTAAATCTAAAAATTTGATTAGAAAACTAATATAAACAATATCATTTTTTTAATGAATGCAAAGGAGGAAGGGATGAGAAAAATATTTTAATTGTATGAAGACGGGCGGGAATGAATTTGAACCGTAGTTGCTTTTTATGTTATTTACTGTTTTTAATGTATGATTAATGTTGGATGGGGTAGTCACTAAGTTGAATTTTAATAACGATCGGTTAACTACGACATAGTGCCAGGCACATATGTACATCAATCCAAGTTTCCATACCTCATTAGCACAACATGACGAACGCAAAATTTATCGAAGCAGTTAATTCATTGGTATTAAAAAAATTTAATACAAGGATATGATACAGGGAGAGAGAATTGCTTTGTATAAAGAAAGGTGTAAAGTAATGGTAATCCCATGGTCTAAGGGAAGACAAAGAGTGTATACACCTACACCATTGTGATAGGTTCTGAGCCATATCTCACAGAGACTCCAACCATTGGTTATGATAGTCGTATGGACTCCAGCCAAGTAGTCTGCATCTACCAACGTGGCTCAGACCTAAAGTTATTGACTTTATGGACTGATGCCCCTAACTTTTCTCCATCCGTTACCGGCACTAGTCAGCATTGCATACCGTAGTAGTCGGTAGTTAGGGATACATATTACGTGGCCCAGGCATCTCAGTCGATAAATATTAACCACCTCATCAACTGAATTACCGTCATTCCCTAATACCCTGCGTCTAACCTCACTATTACTTACCCGATGATCCCAGCAGATGCTGACAATATTTCTAAAACATCTTTGATCAATTACTAGTATCCTCTACTCTTAATAGCCACGTTTCGCTGCCGTAAGTTAGAACATAACGAACTGCCGCGAAGTATACCCGTCCTGTAATTGATATGCGGATATTTCTCCTTCGCCTTAGGTGACGTAAGCTGGCATATGCCGAACGAGCTTTTTGAGTCCGTGCAGAGATTTGTTCAGACAGCAACCCATTCTGGTTGATCAAATTCCAAGGTAGTTGACGTCGACGCGTTCGACTACTTCACTCCCCATCTTTAATTCAGGTATTGACGCAGGTCAGTCATGAAGTAGCGATTCGCATTTAGAGGGGGAGAAACGCACCCCAAACATCCTGAGATTGTTGATCAGTGCTACCTAAACACTGCATTTTATCAGCTCTTCACCAAACAGTACTATGTCATCTCTGTATTATAAGTCGATAAGTGGGTCTTCTGGAAAGAGATCACTGCTCGAGAATTCAGCCGACGAGAACGTTATTTCCAGCAGTAGGTGTATAAGGAAACTAATAAAAATGGAGAAAATGGACAGCCTTGACGGACACTACTTGAGGTTGCGAAAGCAGATGACAGTTCGCCATAAGCTCTGACCCGACCGTTGTTGCTACCCTGACGTGGTGATCGAGCTTGCCTATCGTGATGAAGCAACCGAGATATACTGGCTGGAACGACCGTTCCTCAAGGTCCTACCATGTCAGACAGGTCGGTTGAAGAGCAGTAAGACTAAAAGCAACAAAGATAAGGTCCGAAGGCGAAGTCGTACTGCTGACTGTACAGAGGTGTGACAGCAGTAAGGTGTTTCCTTTGGACAACCAGCATGACAGCGATGCTGCCTTCCCACAAGGAGGGGTGGGATTAGAAAAGTCCGACCCTAAACATGCACATCTCGCCTTATCCCACGAATATCAGTCTCTGGCGGCAAGGTCTAAACAAGTACGGAGCTAACACAAAAATCACCCATAAAAAGGTCGTGTGTGACCAACCTTAAGCAGTTGTCCCTTGGGCACTGCGGTCACGCTCTCAGGTCACTAAGACCACCTCTAATCCAATTTCCTTTTCAGACACCTCCAGAACAACCCTTCCACGGTGTGGGCAACCGGGAAGTGATAACCGTCCTCATACATCTAACAGCACTCAAGACCACTGTATTCCTAATCAACCTCCGTCTTCACTTTCTATTATTCCTCCTACATCGACTTTCACCTTTAAACTTCCTCGTTCGGCTTCCCCCTCAAGTGTCACTACAGCCAACGATTCTAGTGCGCAAAACATTGTCCCAGGTCTACTGAAACCTCACTCCAAACTACACATTGGAGCTTACAATTTACATATCTTATGTCAACTCAGCAAGTAGGTATCCCTTAGCCAAGGCCCTAGAATCTCGTACCACTGATATATGCTGTCTCCGAAACACGCATACAGTATCCTAGTGTGGTCATTCACTTGACCTCACCTTTAAAACCGAAAGCTGAAGAGATACACCCCGCGTTTATATAGGAACCCAACGGCAAATTCTCGTAGACTGGAAAGCTATACAAACGGCTGTGGAAACAGCAGTGACATCTATCAGTGATTTAAACCACAGGGTTACAAAGAACCAGTGGATTTCCTCTAGGTCTATTGCACTGATGGATTCTCGTAAACTCATCCCATCAGGCTCTGAACACGATGAAGAGCGACAACAAATCAGATCTAGGTTAACCAAAAGTCTAAGGAACGACCGTGAGCAGTGGTGGGCAACGAAAGCAAAAGAGATGGAAAAGGCGGCGGCTATAGGGAACACAAGACAGCTCTACAGACTAATAAAAGAAACTGGAATTAATAAGTCAAGTGTAAGTCAGACTATTTCGGAAAAGGACGACACCCTCATCTGCTCTCAGTCCAGACGTTTAGAACGATGGGCGGAACATTTCAGAGAGCAGTTCAGCTGGCCTTCAGCTACTCTGCAACTACCCTCCATTCCCAGACAATGTGAATGGAACATTGAAGCAGGTCCCCCAACTCTAGCAGAAGTTCAAAAGGCTATAGTTAATCTGAAACGAGGAAGGGCAGCTAGTCCATATGAATTGGCTCTTTACTCGAACACTACCAGTCGAGTAAGAGAAGACTACTTCACTCCCTATCCTTGACATAAGATATGTAAATTGTAAGCTCCAATGTGTAGTTTGGAGTGAGGTTTCAGTAGACCTGGGACAATGTTTTGCGCACTAGAATCGTTGGCTGTAGTGACACTTGAGGGGGAAGCCGAACGAGGAAGTTTAAAGGTGAAAGTCGATGTAGGAGGAATAATAGGAATTGAAGACGGAGGTTGATTAGGAATACAGTGGTCTTGAGTGCTGTTAGATGTATGAGGACGGTTATCACTTCCCGGTTGCCCACACCGTGGAAGGGTTGTTCTGGAGGTGTCTGAAAAGGAAATTGGATTAGAGGTGGTCTTAGTGACCTGAGAGTGTGACCGCAGTGCCCAAGGGACAACTGTTTGTTGTCGGTCGTGCACGACCTTTTTGTGTTAGCTCTGTACCTGTTAAAACCTTGCCATCAGAGACGGATATCCATTGAGCAATGTGAGGTGTGATATTCGTGGTGTCGACCTCTTCTAACCCCTTCTTTCCGTTGGGAGCAGGCATAATCGCTGTCATGCTGGTTGTCTGAAGGAAACACCTTATTCCTGTCACATCTCAGTACAGCCAGGTATATGGCATCTCCCTTGGATTGTGGGTTGCCGCTTTTAGTATTACCGATCTGCCTGGTATCGTAGGTCCTCGAGAAACGATTGTCCCAGCCAGTATAGCTCGATTGATCCACTACGATAGGCAATCTTGACTACCACGTCAAGGTAGCAGCAACGGTCGGATAATAGTAATGTGCTAGCTGGTGGTTCTTCAGACACTGTGGGTTTCATACTCTTGATCTAGTAAATGGTCTCTGTAGCGTTCAAATAATTGTAATCTTAATTCTGGAGTTACATTTTGGAGCATGGCTGTACGAAAACTGTCGTATTATTTACTATTGTTTCTAGCGTATTGATGTCTCACATATGTTAAAGTTTAGGTTTGTCAATTTTGACATAGTACTATTTAAACTTGTGTTAATTTAATCCGATTATTTGTTTACTCCGAAGAAGTGCCTTACATTGAGTCACGAAATGTCAGAAATGCAATTTTTCTTTTCATTGGGATATAAAAAGAAAACATTTAATAATAGAATACAACTTTATTCAAAAATTCCAGTAATATGTCATGATTCACAATTTTCCTTCCGACATGTAATTTTTGTGTATTTGTATTTAAATAGGTTAGATGATGTGGAGCAATTAAGGCAAACGTTGAATGCTTATGAAGTAAATCAACATTTTGCGTCATCATCAGCTCCTAAGGTGAGATTAAAATTTCTGTGTCCATTAAACTAAAAGCAACTTCTAAGTTTATGTTATAAGTAGTTTTTTGAATTAAATTTTATGTATGATGTTATTGTGACGCCATTCCAGCATGTAGTGCAGTAATACAGAAAACCAACGACACATTTGCATTATCCCCAGAAATTTTATAGTCCTATCTCCAGCAACTGAAAGTTTATTGTAGCTCCGATTTGATACAATGCAGTCGGAGTCCAAACACTGTCTTACTTGTCAAGGTTTGGGTAGACATCTTACAGTTAGTAAATAAATCTATCTTTGGTCAGTTAAGCAGTCTTAGAACATCTTTTACCATTAAATTTAACGTTAGATGAAAGCATATCTTTCAATTGTGTAATATTCCTGCGATATCGTTTCATACACGGTTACCTGTTTTCTGTCATACGTGATAGCTTCCTGTTGTGTTTTACTTTTAAAATGTTCATTTTTACTTTGTTTTCTTATCCATAGTTTATTGATTTGTCTAGCTAAAATCTAAAGGATTTCTTAATCAAGTTAATTTATACAAATCAGTAAAAATAAACATCGAATCCCTATTCGTGTTTTCATGAAATATAACTCGTTGAATTTTTTAAAATTCCTAATTTAGTGCACCATTTTTTATTGTCACTATTAATATGGTTAAGTGGATAGAAATTAAAAACTATTAAGAGTATCACTAAAGTAAATGGGCGTTCACAGATTCCATCCGAAATTCGTTGTATACACTTAATTCGTTAATTTATTAAAGGAAGATGAAATCTACGTTGTAGCTGACTGACTGAAATGGAATCTCGGTTATTTTGTAATTTCTCATTTACAAAATATTTGTTACTGCTTGTCAGTATCCTCCGTGAATGAATAATCTAGAGCTTTGATAAGGATTTTCTAAAATAGTGAAGTATCAGTTAAAGTAAAAGTATTTCTAAGCTATTCAGTGTAATTCGTGTTTCTTTTCCATTTATTTCTCATTTTGCGTAGATATTCAAGGGTAGAAGTGGTTTTCAGTCTATTTAGTCTTACGACATATCGCTAACTATTTCATACAATATCTGCACTTGTATGGTTTTATATTGTTTTGTTTTTTTCTCATTTACACTCGACTGTCTTGTAGAGTATGAAAAGAGATAATTTGTCATCGCCTCATCTTAAAAGTATGGAAGCGTTAAATGAAGATAGTCTTAATACTCATAAACAATCATACGATCATTCATCATACATACCGTCGTCAATTGCTGAATTCAGTTTGTCTACTGATTCTTTGCATCCGAATTCCTTGAATAATTATAATATATACTCAGCAAACGATCCATTGACTTTTGAGCAAATACGTAATTTACAATATCGCAAAATTCTAAATTTGAAGGGACGAAGTTCTGGAAATGAGTTTTGTTCACCAGTTACTTTATCAACAAATCCTTGTAATAAATACCATCTAGGTGAACCCTATTATGAACTTAGACATTGGCTACAAGTTACTTATGAATTGGAACTTAAACGTTATTGTGAAAAAAGAATGAAAGCTGAAAAGAAACTGGATTTTGCTCGTCAATCTGTAATTAAATTTATTAATAATTTTCTTAAATTATTATTTTAATCTATCTGAATTATTATTTTATCTACTTATTATATTATTTTTCGACTGCCAAGTGTTAACACCTATTCCTGCATAACTCAAAATGTTTTTACTCCACTGATTGGTGACCACCATCATTTGTAGCCCTTAGCGTAGACCAGTTTGCATGGATCAAGCTTGGACGATAACTACTTGATTCGATTATTAAAAATGTTATTGTACTTTGTCTAATATCGAACAGTTAGAGATAACAGATATTGAAATTTTTTAATCCAAGATTTGTTTTTGTTAACATGACAGTGGTTTTTCTCTTGTTATCCATTGGTCCAAATGCACTCGTACATAGTCATTCACAGTATGAATAACCTATTGGAAAAACCTCTTATAACAGTAAGTCGATGTTGTTTCAGATTTCCGTGGACGCTTCAATTCCCTCATGTTTGTAAATATGTTTTATTTTACAATTAGCGATCAGAATAAAATATAAACTCAGTTTACATAGCTATCTCATCAATTCTGTTTAGTAACATGTCGTGGTAGCAGTATTTGATGTTTAATCAACAATCTGTCTATAATATACTTCTATCTGTCATATTTGGCTAGGAAATTGACAAAGTTTCCACCGTATGACCAAATACAATCAGCTGACATTTAGCCGATCAATTAAGAATAAGAAAATAATAGTCTCTTTAGTAGAATAACACATTTAAGTTATAAATACAGTTGATTGGTATTTTCGTTTGCTTAGCGCTGAGTTAAATTGATGTGTCGTTAGCTTACATGAATGAAAGTTATGAAATGTTACATTGAGAGTATAAAATTTACGGATATGTATCTTATAACGAATTGTTTACCAAATCAGTTTGTTTGCATAATAAAATAATACACAATTGTTTACCATATATAGTTTTTTGACTGTTTAAGATTATTACGAGTACTAGATAAAACTTTTTTTAGTGTCATTGTGTTTCTGATTTGAAAAAAATATGTGGAAATTTCAGTGGTAAGATTCAATGTAGGTAAATAAATACTTTTCCAAATAATTTTTCTAATTTGAGAACAACTATTTCAGATGATGTATTTAATACGTATATCGATCCGAGAGAAATTAGTTAGATAAACTTGCTAGTATTTCTGTCATAGAACTAGTTATAGATACATTATTTTTTACAATAGTTGTTCAATTCAAAAGAGAAGTGATATTTTCATTTTGTTATTAAATTCATTATTATTCTTTGTGGCCATAATATAATTTATAACTATACTATGTGTAAGTTTTTCTAAAAGCTGCATCATGTATTACTACGTATGATGTAGCGTAGCTGTTACTGAAGTTATCAAACAATTATGTGTTTCCACTCAGTTTTGGTTGGGTTAACTGTAGTTAATTTTCAACAGAACACAATTTTTAACCTTTGGCCTATGTATTTGTTGCTCCTAGTGTAGACGTTTTATGCGTAAACGTTATGGTATTTTTGGTTCAGTTCGACTAGTAAATGCGATAAATTTGGATGAATTGGAAAATCGTTTGATTAGTGCGAAGTAAGTTATCGTTTATTATGATACACAATATATATATTAGTTATTTCCTGTTTAAGCATAAAGTTTTGTTTCTTTATAGGTTTGTAGCAATAATTGTTTAGACGCTAATAAACTCTGAATAAGTCCGAATTCGGAAAGTAGAAAAGTCTGTTGACTCTGGTCTTGATCGGAGTAAATGCAAAATGAACTGTTAATCAAAATGTTTAAGATTCACTTCAAAGTAATACACACATAGATCTTCAGTTTTCATTACGGCTCTTTGAATTATAGAATAATCATATTAGGTTAGCAGCATCTCAGTTCTTCACTAGTGAGTTTGGTCGTATGTAAAAGAATGATCATGTAACCTTTCTACTGGGTTTGAACACTATCAATATGATTACTAATCAAAATAATAATAAAATTTCCTCTCAAAAGCACACAAAAGAATGATCAGTGAGAAATCACGTAATGCACATAAATCCTTTTAAAAAATGGGTCAACTAATTTAAAATGGATAAATTACAAAAAAAATCTGAATTAAAATAGTTTATGATCTGACTGAAGTAAATTTATTAGGTCAGTACTGGTTTAATGACTTTATTGTGTCATATGCAAACACCATGATTAACTTGATGTGTTGTGGTCAATTCAATATAACAAAAAAGATTTATGTGTATTTACCTGGTAATTATTGTACTAGGACTAAAAATGTGTTCAGTATTTTGAAGCTATTTAGTAATGTGGAATCACATGTGTGAATAACAGAATTTCTCGAACTTTGAGTTTGCGGTGCATCCGTAGAGTAACGAATGATTGTTCGTAAATCTGTACTTCTAATACTCTTTCTCTAACAATTATAGGTGAATTTGTGTATTGTTAGGGTGAATAATTATATATGTTTGCGAAATAAGATCAATAGTAAAATATAGGAAGCTTATTAGTTGTGTTTTTGTGACTGATGCTTAATAGTTTGTTCTTGTTTTATTCATTTCTTTTCATGGATCCAACACTTCTCGTAGATAAGCGACCTAGGAATTTTCCTTAATGGATTTAACTGTTCCAGATAACAAGTATTTATCATTTTATGTGGCATCTCGTCTTATTCCTCTCGGAAACCTTCCTTTTATTTCCATTACTGACAGACTGTTTTGTTTCTATGTACTTTGAGACTATTGGTGTTCCCACTGAGTTATTTCAGTGTAACCAGGTACTATGGGCTTGAAATGCATATTAGCTTGTAGGATTTCCTATACGATGTTTTTTGAATTCGTTACTTTCGCGTAATTCATGAGTTATGAGAACTCTCTGGGATATTATTGAGAGTCATACTACTTACTCTTTATTATTAATAAATTTTGCAAATTGTTGTGTTCTTTTGGTTGCGTCTCCTCATTTCCTTAGCTATTTGTTTGATCCTCCCACATTGTCCGAAAATTTTATGTAACCATATGGATTGTTGCTCTGGTTGTTAGAAGAGACATTGGCCTTGTGACTTCCGAAGAATCTCGGCTTTCGCCATGAGGTGTCATAATTCTTCTGAAAGAAAATCCTTCATGTGTCAGGGAGGAGTTTAAGTGGTTTAATTTGTTTGTTCTGGTTGGCGTTTTCTTAGCAAGCCTTTTTTCGATGGATGGGGTTGCTGACTCCATGCCAAACCCCCCTTCTTTACCTGGGTTTGGGACTGGCAGTAACCGTAGAAGAGCTACAGGCGGAGTTTTTCATTTTTATACTTAGTGTAATAATCACAAGTTTTTTATGATTTCGTATATTTTCCAGAAAATTGTCGGAAAGTATATCGTCTAATATATTTCTTCCCATGTTAGGTAACGATAAAGTCAATAGTTTTACAACATTCTTGTTTAATGCAGTTAACGAATATTATATACATATAACCGATTATCCGATAATAAATATTGTGGAAAATGAAAAAGAATTTTACTGAGTGTATCTCATCTAAGCTTTGTCATTATCTTTATTTTACAGTAATTTATTATTTAATGTACAGCCTAGTATACTGTATTTGATTATTACCTTCTTTTCTAGACAAGCTTTGGATCAACTTGAAAGTGAAGTTCAAGAACGTATAAACCGTTGGAGTCGTATTGAAGCTTTAACTGGTCACTTGATACGTTCAGACATTCATAATCAATATGCGAAAAGTACTATTTGTGAAACTACAAGTTCAATTCCTTGCTCAATGGATAAGTATAGATATTGTAATGGTAGTATGAAGTCTAGCGATTCTGATCGTTTGTCATCTATGATTGAAGAAACTTCTCTAGAATCTAATCGTTTTCCTAAATCTACTGGTAATGGTTTAGTGAATGATTTCGATTGCATTCATAATAAAGAAAGTAAGTCTTAGAATCATATTTTTATCTGAATATTTCGGTTGTAGTTCATTTAGGACAGATAGGAGGATATTTTTACGTGGCTGTTGATTAATTAATTGTCTAAATAATGATTGTTCAGTGTATTACAGATTATACGCATAATACTTTATTATGTTGGGTTCAGTCTACTTACAAATCAACATTGAAAACTAATATTTACTTTTTGTGAATCTTATATTTGTGTAGTTTTCAACTTGAAAGAATCATTTCAATTAAACACTGAAACGACTGATACATTCAGGACAAGTTTACCGCGAAATTATTCGTTTGTTCGACCATTTGCTACTTTATGGAGACGTAAGACAAAATCTGGTCGAGATAAATCAGATTCTAAACAGTAATTATATAGAATTTCTCTTTTTTCCTCAGAGTAATACACTTATTTTATTTTAATTTGTTTTCTTTCACTATTTATCTTCACAAGATGTCAAGCTAAATCTTTAAAATGACTTCATTAGATTCTTTGTTACTTCCTGTTATATATATACGAATAACCTTAGCATACATTCCTTTAATCATTAATGTGTCTTTCTGTTAGACTGTATATTTTAATCTTAAGGGGGAATTTCTTTGACTGAAATCACTGTGTTTAGAAATTTTGTGCAATTTTGACTTTATTTTCAAGCGGAAATTTATCATTTATTTACCTTGACCTGTTTACTTGAATCTTCTGACTGCCATAGTACTTTACATTTGCTATAATATACCTATATTTGTTTTCCTCTTTTGTTTGTACTTTCATAATATTACCCAGGTTGGTAATAACTTTAACTGTGTTAAAGGCATTTATATTTATTTTAATTAATTTTTTTCTTATGATAGACTCCTTTTTTCACTTATTTCAAATTTGTCAGTCATAAGGTGAATTTTATCTTATTTCATGTTGATGATCGTCTCTAACAACTTTGAATGACGTAAAGTGACAGAATACGAATAATTAATTGTGACTGGTTGCTTCCTACTAAGTTACGTACAAAGTAAATGTTTATTTTATTCCAAATATCAGTTTAGTTGGAATTGTAGTTAGCTTTCATTCAGTGAATAGTAAGTTGTTTAAAATTTCAGATTGTAATTTACTCTTGAAAGAGCTTTCATGAGCTATTTGAGCAGTAAGGTTCATGGAAGACAGAGTGCTTAGGGTAGGATGGACGGTTGGCAGAAAATGCTTTTGGTTATAATGTAATTCCGCATTCATATTTTCCGGGTAAATAAGAGCTACAAATGCGCGAAATGAGAAGTTTAACGCATTGATAAATGATTCTATAGAACAGCCATTTGATAACTAGACATTTTAATGGCAAAGTATGGATGTAACTTGAAATTGTTACATTGTATTAGTAGAAGGTATGCACGTTTGCTTCAACAACTGTCATTGGTGTGAAATGGAGTTGGATATTGTTGTTCGGAAACGTATTTCAAGCCAACCAAATCGGCATGGGAAGTTTCCAACTAATCGCCGCGCAAAGAAAGGAAACCATCTAAAAGTTTGATCAAGTGACCTGGGATCCATGAAGTCAAGCTGCTGCGACGTCATCATTATATTGTTAGTTATTTTATGTATGAAACGTGCAGATAGATGGGATTGACAATGGGTCCAGTCGTAGTTGATTTCCTTCTGGGGAAATTGGAATACATCCATCTAAAACGAGTGCTAGGGACACTAGGATTTTTTTGTCGCTTCATGTACGGTACAGTTATAGTTACAAAAGACGATAGCGAAGCTCAGAACCTACTATGAAAGTTTAATAGAGTCAACCGGGCAATAACCTTCACAATAGAAAAAGGAAAGTACGACTCCATATTTCTAGGTGTCCTATCTGCGAAAAGAACTAGTAAGACCTTAAAACGTTATTCCAGGACAGGTGTCCCGTGTCACTCATTTCGTTTGAAGAAAAAATATGTTCGAGGTAGGATGGCGGACGCTCGTTTGATATTCTGATGCTGAAAATGTGCCTGATTTGATGTGAGATTCATCTTAGTCTAGCAGGTTTTAATTCTTTTCGTGAGTGACAATGTTGCGAGATAATTTTTCAAGAGTTAAGATGGACGGCTTCCAAGAACTTTATAAAGGACGACCTGCGAGAATTTTTTGACTCGCGAACTTGTGGAACTTTGTCAAGTTGCAGTTTCTACCTATAACCCTTAGAAAGAGTGTACACTAGCAAACTTACATATTGCAGTGGTATAGTTACATGCGAAATCGAACCTATCTCCAAGTCGCGACAGTAACACTACTTCAATTTTGCTTGTGTCTATCATAAACTATTGACAATATTCTTTGGTTTGTTCAACATTTTTGCTTCTGATGACCTTGGAATCCTGTGCCTACTCATTTCCGTTGGTTCAAATGCCATTTTTCTATCACGGTTTGTCATGACCGTTAAAGTAAAAAACGAGGAGAGAGACAACTACTAAAAATGTTCCTTACACCAATCATTAATAAGAAACATCAGTTACCCATTGGCTACAAGGTAGTCAATGGACGGTTTTTCAATAGTAATCGGTTATGTTGTTCAGTGCAATCACTTTTGTTGTAACTGTAGTTAGGGCTGTTAATTCAACCTGGTAAGTCTCAGTTTTCTCAAAACTTCACAACTGAACGAGAACTTTAAGGCTGACATCATTAATATAGTCGGCTGCGTATATCATAATTGGACTTGACAAGTCTGTCATTAATACCTTGCCACAAATCGAAAATGTTTTCGCGAGTCAAATGTTATAATAAAGAACAAACACGAAATGTGATTTGGGGATTTTCTCTGGGTTACGCATTCCGTGATACGGGAAATTTAGGATGAGTGACCTCTACTCCCTACAAATTTTTGGAAATATGCTAGCTACGGTGAAAATGTAGGCAAGCACCCCATCAAAGCAAGACATGTGACTTCTCTATTTCTAGGTATTTTGCCCAGGCCTGTACTCAACGCTAATTGTATAAAACCTTTTGCAGCATCTAATGGGCTCCTGGAGATATTGATGAGGAATATATCCAGACTCTCTCGCAGTGATACAATAACCATAACAATGTAGCCCCAGTGAATTCTGTTTTTCCAGAACAAATAATAACATAACCAAAAGATAACTTCCTAAAAATACGGACTGATAAAATGAAATACCCTTAAAAATATTTTTAAAGTTATAAAAATAATGATGGTAAACTAGATCGAATTTCACATAATTCATCATTATTCATCGCAATTTCGTTGTCAGTCAAAATTTGATATTGCCTGTTTATTGGCATTCCTCATTTAACGGTCTGTTATTTGAGAATCAACTATTATTATTGTAAGTAGACTGTTTATCTTTCTCTCTGAGACTATCTAATTGGTCGTAATCAATGGTCAGCTGTAAGAAAAATTTGTTTTTGATACATCTGGCGACCTGTGACAAAAAAGTCACTAAAGCAAACCTTGAAGTAGTCCCTGATTAGTCTTAAATGAATGTGGATTTCTTTCACCTAGTTTTCTACAGTTTTATCCGTCTTTATCTAAAGCATAGAGACCTAGTTCTTACTCCTCCACCCGGTAATTATGAGGATGCTCTGAAGTGTACCGAAAAGTATGTAAAGTAATAAGTTCACGGAATGAATCTCGAGCCTAATAAGTTACCATTTCAGATGTTTGTGGTTCATTCTGATTACATCACAAAGAATTTCTTAATACCTTTTTCCATCATCCGAAATACTAGTAAAATTTCATTTTCAGCATAAAGTTTGGGGGAAAATATCGTGAGCCAAATGTACAATATGTGAGAATAGATTGTTGTTTAATTTTTCACTGCTTTGTATAGGTCGAAGTCTCAAGTGTTCCACCAGCCAAGAAAGTTCAGGAAACGTTCTGTACATCCTTCAAGCGGAAGTTTGGCACATTGTTGGGGGTAAAAAATAACGGCTTGCAGGGTTACATAAATGTCACTGGGTCCTGGCTAAATCCTTTGGCTCTCAGACCATCTCCTTTGTGTGTATTATACTGTCATCAAATTAGCCATAGTACCTGCATACGACGAAAGGGTAATCTACATCACGTATTAACCGTGGGTGTGGCCACGACGTTCAAATTGGATAGACCACCAATCGTCGACGCAGATCATATATGTTTGCGATCTATAGACTCATACTAGTTCATTAGTAATATATTCATTTCTGCTTATTCCATATGCATTGAAAGCACCTGTGATCCATTACTACAAAATAGAGAAGCTCGCTAAGCGAACGCTCCTTCTGTTGTATCTTTAATCATTTGAAACACTTGAACTGTTTGAACTTTGTTTTCAGTTCCTGAGTAGTTGAACTGCCTGACAGTTAGAAGGATGTCAGATAACCTAACAAAGACGTAGCTAAAATTAAGACGTCATTCAACACGAAGTAACATTTTTTCAGTTTGTTGAATTAGGATAACATATTGACCCAAATATCGATAACCGCAAGGTTATACACTTATGAGCATTCGAAAATTCGTGATACTTAGACTGAACCACTTAATCGAAATTTAGTCAAGATGTAGTGGCTTGACAAACGAGCATAGATCCTATGGTGATCATCACGCGTAATAAAGGGCAGCTGAAGAGAGTGCACAACAATAAACTCTTTGATTAGCGGCTGTGGTTAATAAAGTAGAACATGGAGTAGCGTTAATCAGTATTTACCTGCAGACTGAAAAACTAAGTACTATTTTATAGAAAATCGTAGTCCGTTCATGATCAGCACAAATAAACGAAAAATATATGATATTTAAAAACGATTACACCTAAGAAAGTAGATATGATATTTCTGAGATGATACTCAATTATAATGTCGAGACATTTTTATTGTACACTGAAACATCATCAAATGTACATGTCACTACGAACTCACCTGCTAGTGCTTTCAAAAAATGTATAAACCTGAGGGAACTACTGGTATTTTCACCAAGACCATCAAGACTTGTGTTCTTGATTTGGAACTCGAGAAGTTTTAATGTGCCAAGGCCAAGGCGGGTTTATTAAAATGTCTAAAGGGCCGGGGAGGGGTTGTTTGATGACATTTCTAGTTCTTACCTCGTTGATCTACAAGTCATCTCAAATAGGTAAAAGCTATTAGCATTTCATAAAATTGTTAGGATTTTTGTAAGATTTGTGGTATGTTGTTAGGTAGGAGTGTAATTTTCAGATGTCGTAATGATCACTATGATAATGCAAAAATATTGAGTATCGTTCGTCAAGATGTCTCAGAGTTATGTAATTTAATTTATGGCTTTTTTTTTCTTGTTTATAATAGTTCATATTATTTTATTTTGCTCAATTTGTATAATTTTGACCAATTTCACTTGTTAGCAAGTGAATTCAGTAAGTATAGATTTATAGTTTTTTTGATAGCCATTCATTCTCTAGGGAAAACTTTCAAGATATTATGTTAAGTGGTCATTATAGCTGCTATAAGGTTGTTGACACGTGACTTTGTTTCCAGGTATTTGTACTTCTTAATTTACATAATTTCTCTTTTACCCCAATAAACACTAGGTATCGGCCCTGCTCGCGATTTGAATAACCTGTAGTTTTTTCCTTTCAGTGGCGCTGCAAAGCAGTGGAGATCGTTATTTATAATAAATCAACTGCAATTTAGCATTTTGTTGAAATATACTTTATGATTGCTTTCATGACAATACTGTCATCAAATTCACGACCGAATCGAAAGTTAGTGAATTGGGTGAGACGATAATTTCCAGAAAACCTTTGAACGAAGCTGAAGTGACTTTGAGAGTGGACGCCTACTGATTAGGACTAAATGAGGGTTATATAACAGTTAGAATTCTCAATTGCAGTTCATGGTTATTGTTAAAATTAGATTTAAGGTTTTCATCACGAACTGACATCAGCTGTAATGCCAAAACCAATTAAACATATGTATGGATGAATTCCGTGCCAAGATTCGTGACTCTGTCTTATATCTCATTGGTTCGTGCATAAATTATAGTCTCACAGTGTTGCACAATTTTCGGTACTTCATATTCTGCATAACGTTTTCTAACATTTTGTGTGCATAAGCTTTATAAGTTTATTATCTGCAACAACTAATACGAAGTTTTTTTTAGGTTCAGTTACACCAGAAATTATTGTACTAGATACCAATGGCAACCAAAAAGAATTAGATGGTATTGCTATTGTTTACAATTCCCACGTCACTTTAATTTGCCGTACAGTATCTGACGAACATCTTCTAAGATGGCTGTATGCACCATCACAAGATGGAACGTTTACGCCACTAAATAATACAGGCCATATTACCATTTCGTCTCAAAAAAATGAGGAAGTATCGTTGCTGCTCGTCAGCGTTCTGTTTAATATGTCGGGCGTATATCAGTGTACTAATGGACTTGCCAGTCGTCAGATAGATGTTCACGTTTATGGAGGTATTTTTATGTTAATAACTTAGTTTCTTGTTTAGTTTTAAAGAAGATTAGTAGTACTGTCCACTTGATAAAAAAACATGAGGTGGTTGGTGCTTACAGTCTTCAGATTAACACAATCAATTCAAGTTATCATCCTGTTGTTGCGTGTGAATTCCGAGTTGGTTCAAACGGTATACGATACACTACTGTCCGTTGGAGAGGCGGAAAGTATCATGTTAAACCCAATCTTTACAAAGTTACTGAGAGTCGGGACGAAAAGTCTGGCATAATATGGAGTAATTTGACATTGCTTCATCCTTGTAAGCTCGATGATTTCACTCCACTTGTTCTATAATACTTCATATTTCATCCCTAAGCTTGATAATTCATATAACCTGATACTTGTCACAAGCGTAAAGATTTTTTCGTCTAGTGACATTAACCCAATCACTTGATTTACGATCACTGGTGAGAGGCTCCATTTCCACTCTATGTACTTTTATATATAAGCATATTGTGTTCCCAGTTTTTACATAACAATTGTGACCTATAGCCTAGTACACAAACATTTACCAGGCTAATGATTCGATAGTACATATCTTTTGTCTTACACACTTATGCTCTTATAGAGACTTAAAAAATTATTCATTAGCGTCACACTCAAACGTTACTTTTGAAATCTTCATATCATGATAACGTGAAGTAGCGAGTCATCAAAAACAAGAATTTCAAATTATTTGCAAGGTTGGAGGCAAACAACTTTCCCAAATGTCTAGTACTTGGGTGTCTTTCAATTTTGGTTGTCAACATCTTATTACGTATCGCATATTCTGTATTTGACTCTACGTCGAATAAAAACCACTATTCTTCACGCTTGTATTATAGTACTTTAAATTGAACAACAGGCTTGTCGCGATAGTAACAGCTTCATAAATTCTAATCATACTCATTGCTGTTTAATTGGCTTTTAGTGTCAGTTACTGTGTTAAGCCCATATAGTTTATTCTAGCTTCTGGACAGGCCAATTTATCCATTCTTCTTGAGTCACGTTTCGGCCTTGTGAGTTATTCACTTATCAATCTTGACTGTTTTAATATGAGCGTATGTGTGTAGACTTCTTATCATATTCGTCAAATATCCGTAACCTATTTTTACCTTGCCATAAATTAACGCTCGATTAACTAGAGTTGACTTACATGTCTTCTCTACTGTGCGTCATTTCGCTTCATTCTCTTCTCTTCGTCCCTCTGATTGCCTGTCCAGATCAGTGAGTATACAGAATATATGTGTTCAAAAATCCATTCTCATATTTGGCTTATTTACTTCCATTATCCACTAACACGAACGAAGTTGTTTATTACATTCGAGGATAACCGACATGTGTATTTCAATAACATCCATACGATCCAATTGGAGTCTGACATCAAGCCACTAAAGTAGGAAGCCCGTCGATAACATCTTTCGATCTAAGTGACGTCAAAATGAAGGGCCTCACTAAAGACTACTTATTCATTGTCTCAATTGATTGATCTATGATTTAGCTACTTTTCAGATTTATTTTTCCATTAGTTGTGCGCTAGTGAATAGAGGAATAAATTAGTCCTTTTACGTTTTATTTATTTATTTATTTATTTGAACACATAAATATTGGTACAAGAGAGCGCCAATATATATGCGCCACACAAAACAATGGGAATTCGAAGAGAAGTAGAAAGAGAAAAAAAAAACTAAGGAACGCAAAAGAAAAAGAGAGTAATGACGAAGAGGTACAATCAGAAGAAATCTTTCAGGTAAGGGAGACACAACCACTTTTTATGAAGAAAGTAAAAGAAGGTTACAGCAGGATCGCCACTGGCTTCTATTCTGAGCCATATTTGATAACGTCTCTAGCCACTGTGTAGCACCATCTCTCAGACCCCAATCAGGGAGTCGCGAAGGACCGACACAAGCCAGTCCTTTGCAGCTTTCTTTCATACCACGACACCATGTCATACACTGACCACCTCTCCGCTTCTTCCAACCAGTCCCAGAGTCGGCAAATAATGCACGACGTGGAATTCTCTGGGACGACATTCGGAGAGCATGTCCAAGCCACCGAAGTCGGTGTTTCAAGATGGTGACACCAATTGAGTGATCATCTCTGTGCCCGAACACACGATGCCGAACCTCTGCATTACTGACATGGTGTTGCCACTGGATGTCAGCAATCCTTCGGAGACAGCGATGATCGAAAACAGAGAGTCGTCTAACGTCCTCAACTCGGAGAGGCCACCTTTGGCGCCTTCGTGATGTCCTTTTACGTTCAGAAGTACATATCTGTGTCATTCAAGGTTTTATGGAGGGTAAGGGTTTCATGTCGCATAGTATGGAAAATATTGTTAAGGTTAAGAAGTTTCTATTCAATCGTAATTAAATGCGTTTTAGAAATAGAAACTACCTTAGTTAACACTGATGCTTGTTTTTATTGAGTTTTAACGTATGATTTTTACCAGGTTCCTGTATATTTTACGAAATATGATTTGTTTATCGTTTGGAATTGTTACTCTTAACATAGCCTATGACCAAGAGCTGTACGGAAAATATTATTGCATGTTCAATATTGTGCCTGGTACTATGGAGACAGCTGAATTACAAATAAGCAGTGAGCTAGTTTTTTGATAATTTATTGTAATACTATATTAATATTTATGTAAAAATGGTAGTTACAAATTGGTCGTTCAGGTTTCCTCATTGAATGACCAAAGTAGGTATTTATATTGCTAGGAAATATTTATTACTACCGAAATAGTAGATTATCCGGTAAAAATTCACTAGGTAGCACCACAACTCATCGCATGATCCTCTTAATAATCATCGGATTTCTTGAAATTCATTAATTTAAACTTTAAAATACTGTGAATTCAGGATACCCCATTAGAACTTGCTAAAATGTGCTTTTATTCACACTCGTTTTGAAGCTTTTAAACTATTGACGAAACTTTATCTTTGTTAACTTCAAAAGTTTAGAGACTCATCTCAGTGAGAATCCTACAAGTACTCGGTTGTATTTTCATTAACCATCGCAGGGCCGGCATTTAACAATCCGTATTCTTTCTCGTTTTATTTTTAGTTGCTAATAATTGAGTTAGAGAGTAAATCACTCGTGATGAAAATACCAGTTACGAGTTAAAGCTGCACTATTTCGGTCATTCGACCATCACCCGTTGTGACCACGGTTCGAAAAATTCAAACCTTTTTAGTCTGAAGAATACCGAAAAATACCAAACAATGTTGTTTTGCAGTTGATTAAGTAAATTAAGAGATCATGTAGCACTTACTTACAAAGTTGTCATTAATTGGTATTAATGCTTAATTCCTAATTAGTCATGTTTTCATAGTTTACATCCGGGACTAATCTTGATTAGACCACCACTGTAAACCAGGTAGGACTGAACAGTCGTCAGTGATAGTATAACTATGATCACTTCATGATGAAAATCTAGTAATCTCCAGAATACCTGATTGATTATAATCCATTGTTACAACCATACATAATTACAAGTGTACGTGCACGCACATATGATTCATATCCTGGCGTCTCCCTGATAACTGGCTGTTTTCTTTTTTATCCAGACTAGGTAAGAAGAGTAAATGTTTGGTGAATTTTAATACATTTTCGTATAAATAATAGGAAATCAAAGCAATACACAATAAATCATATAGTTCAATTATAAAGACCTTTATACTGCTAGATTTTGTTACATGCGTATGTTGTTTGGATTCATATCAACCATTCTCTGTACATATCTTATTTGCTTACTGTTATATCCCGATGAGAATTATGAATGTTAACAAATTTTGAGAACTATTTATGGACAAGTGTTATACGTATATTAATGTATAGCTATTTAGTAGCTAGATTGTGTATATCTATAATTTTATTACATGCTTTCTTTTGACCTATAAACTATTATTATACGATTTACCGTTGTTGAGTTGTGCTCTGTCTATTAATTACAGTCTTCCACATTCACAGATACTTTTGGCTAGATCTTGTACGTGTTATTTTCTTTTTATAGTACGATGTGGTCTGTTTGGTTTGTACATAAACCCAATATATTTAAAATACTTGATTCGTATTGCAGAAGCTGACATCGGTGTGCTGGACTTAACAGGCAGGTCTAGGCAGGAAGAAGGACCGATAAAGACTCTAGATTGCTCGTATGGATTTTATGCGTCATTGGTCCGGTCGATAAATCACTGTTCTCTAATTGGCGATATCATTGTGTAATATATTAATAGGGCACAAGGTCACAAGACATAACACAGTTAGACAAAAGTAATAAAGAATTTCGGTAATGCGTTGAGTAGACGGCAAGTAACAAAGAAAAAAGAAAAAAAGAATGAAATTATTAACAATTAGTGTGTCTAAAAAGGTCGGATCAAGGTTAAGGAAATATGTAAAATCACCGAAAATAAAATATTACTGAACAAGGAAGTGTTATTTGAAGTATTATATAAACAGTTTATCCGTTTCATCAAAAGTGTACGATTATCTATGTTAAGCTGTAAGTTTTCATCAACATGTATAAATAGGTTTCGATTTAATTTAGGGGAAAAGCAACTATCACTATTTGTAGGTTATGTGATGAACGTTGAGATGAACTACATATTTAAACTGGGAAGCGTTTCAGTTTTTCAAGTTGGACTTGGGAATTATTACAATCTCAACATACTACATCTTAAATTTACTCTTGAACATAATTTGCTATCCGTACTTTCCGGTGGAGTTTTGTTCTTTGAAGTGAATGGCTTAATCGTCGAGCATCTACTCAAAGCTTGTGGTAATGATGTTGCCCGGAAGAACGATGAAGATTCTACAACTAAGTCATCGAGCTCAGAGAAAGAAACTCAACCAGAACCGTTCACCTGAACTACAAATCTTCTGCGTCTTAATATTCATAATACTGATTAACTGTATCTGTGTAGAATTTTTCAAATAGTATTGTTGTACAAAAAAATAATTGTTCTTAGTGACTTATTTACTAATAATTAATTTTAATTGATGCTATGACTTTAATTTAACTGTTAAACTAATTTTTTTCCTTATATCTTCATATTGGAAAATTTTTTCTTATATACATATCAAGTTCCACCATTAATACACAAAAATGAACGTAGTGTAAATCTTTATTCTGGTGTGAAATACACTTACTTCTGTGATATTATTGCCTACCCACCAATCACTGAACCTATTTCATGGATGAGGAACGATGTTCCTCTAGTAATCCAACATAATGGTCGAATTTCTGTTCATGATAATTCTGAAAATCGTATACATTTTGAAAGTAAAAACGTTCTCAATGATCAAATTGTATTCGATACAATACAACCAGATGATAGAGCTGTCTATTCATGTTTTGTTCGTGGAGCATTTGGAAATGATACAGCAGCTTTCTTTTTACGAGTAAAAGGTTGGTTTTTATTTCAAACTAAATTTTTCTGATAGAAATATTCAACTTTATATGGTTAAATGTCTAATACAAGACAATATGAATTCAATCAACAAAGTTTTTTTGTTTACGAAACAATGTAGCCTGTTTCGATTCGTTCGTCGATAAGATATTAATCATTCAAAAAATACATGGCAATAATATGTTTTCCTAATACGTGTAACATTAATTGAACATTTTATAGTCTGGAAATGTATTCCAACTAGTGATATTTTTTAAAAGCTTGTTCTCACTCTTTTTCTTCGTTTTTCATCATATTTTTCTTGTTTATCCTAACATTTTGATGTATGTATTGCTGAGAACTGTAGTGACATGAATATACAGGGGGTTGTTTGGTTTTATACTTCAAAGGTTTGTTCTTTGAAGATAAATGCTGTGAGGAACTCAGTTCTTATTTTTCATATGGATTTAATGTGTCAGAAACCAGTATATTCAGTTTGTGAATATGTGATGAAAGTGTATAGAATGTAGATCTAAAATCTTCAAATCATGAGAATGGTTTGTACGTAAATATTCTCTGCCCAGTCTGTTTGAATTCTATAGTTTTAATAATTGTTTTTCTTAAGAGACTACTCTTTACTTAGACTTATCTTGTATACACGGCAGTCAGTCATTCACAACTTAAAACCTGTACGTACGTATGTTTTTTCAAGTCTCCATACCCTATTAACACAAAGAGATGAAGTTGTCAGGCCAAATCCCAGAATAGTAGAGGTATTAACAATGTCCGTAGTAATAGGAAAGACTAGACATTGAAGATGCGACTCGAAAAGAAAATATAAATTGGCGAAATAAAAATATAAATTTATGAAGAATATAGAATTTCAGGATTTAGGGGAATCTAAAGAATGGATGCACCTTCACCATTGCAAATGACTTTGAGTCATGTCATTCGAAGTCTATAATCATTGGTTACGATAATCACGCGGATCCCAACCAGGTAGTCTGTACCTATTAACATGAGTCAGCCTGATTGTCAGTGACTTCATGAACAGATATCAGGGTTTAGCTGTTCCTATCGTTTCTCCTGACTACTGCACCGGAAGACATTATCCGTCAAGGTAGGAGGTGGTTGGGCATGCGTAACACATGTCTCCGTCATCTCAGTTGATGAAAATTTGCTACCTCATCATTTGATACCCCATCTTTACCTAGTACTCTACTCTTAACCCAAACATTATTTACTCTATGGTCCCAAAATACACGAGCAATGCTTCAAATACTAGTAACTTATGATTATACTCTACTCCACGTAGCCATTAGGCTATGTATCACATCCATCAAGTAGAATGGAGAAAACTTGAGCAGAAAACTCGTCCTTTGGTTGGATGATGGATATCTCGCCTACATCATAAGTGATGCGAGTTGGCAAAGCCACTCGAACTTGGTAGATAGTGAACATCATATTAAGCTTTCTCTGTTTTATATCAAGTTCCAAAGAATCTACTTCAAGGAGCTAGATTGCGGCTACTCTATATAGCCGAAGCCATCTGGATCAACTCCAGAAAATCGAACTTATGTGTCCAGAAGAGGTATATTTAGCCTCTATGTTTACCTTGGCCCACGACTAGATCACCTCTCATTACATATGTTCATACAGCGATATTATTATTATCACCTCGATTAATAAGATGGAATTCTCCTATTATTCATTTTACTCACACAATTTTTTTATTTTTTTACATTACTATTATACTGATTATGACTTGACATTTTACTACAAATCATTCTGACCTTTCTAATTTACAAATAACACCATTTTGGAGTATATATGTCGTAACAGATGCAAACGTTCACCATTTTTAACACATAACATTGTCAAATTCACTAATGAATGCCTTATTTTGGCTTTTGTAAGATATTATAATTATGGACTTATAACTACAACTTAATAATGAAGTTGTTGAAAACAATTGTCCGCTCAAATATCCCCTATTTCGTATAATTTTTTAATCTAGATAAATATTTATTTCATAGCATGTAGTCAACCAATACCTCACACCAGTCTTAGATAGGAAAATAAATCCACTATTATTGTTCTGTTGTCTAAATTCAAAAATATATATATATATGAGCCTAACTAAAAAATTGCAGTTTTCATGACTTCTCTCAACAGTATGAATATGCTATTTTCAATCCTAATTTTTGACTGCTATTTAATTTGTAACATTGTAACGCTTTTTTGACGTAGTAAATTTTATCGATTCTATTTTAATATTGTTGATGAATTCTTATCGAAGCTTCTAGGTAATTTGTTATTTTCATTTCATCAAAAGCAAAAACTCACACCATATATTAGATCTTTGGTTTTCCGTACTTTTTTTTTATTATCAAACTTATGTTTAATTTATTTTCGTCTGAAACTGTAGTTTTATCATCTAATCACAACTGTGAATTAAACATTTCGTTAAGATTTCTTGAATCATGCATTCTGAATGACTTGGAAATTTCTATTGAACATTATTATTTCGCTTCAGTAAAATAAATTTCATATTAATGATTACAAGTTATTAGGATTAGTAAGTCGTCATTCATATTGTCTCAATGTATTTATCATTATATCGGTGGTTGTCTTGATCTTTCACTTAGATAATTGATGGAAGCATAAAAATTATTCACTTCATTAAGACTTATTAAAGTCATTGAAAATCTATTATAAGACTAGTTAAATAAGTAATGTTCTTTTGGTATTACCCATCGAATTGTAAATACTTGTGCGTATTCTCTGAGTGTTCAGTATTGAGCTGTAAACTGTTAGTGTAAAGTTATCAGCTAACTGATATAAATTTGGATTTCCTGTTTGTCGAATTAGTTATGTGTGAATTGTTATGCTTGTTGGATGCTTAAGTGGCTTGTATTTTGTACTGAACTCCTAAATCCGACATTGCATAATGAAAACACAAGGCTAATTTATTGGCCTTATTTACGGCTAAATTAACAATCAGATTTGTATAGTTTGAAACAGTAGCATTTAACATCAGTTACTCAATAACTTATGTGAATACAAATTCGATATATTACAGTCAAGCATCTATAACCGACAGATATAGCTATTCGATTAAGTTGCATAATCATTCCTCAAGATGTGATTATATGTCACAGACGATCAATTTCATATGTCAGTCCCACTCCAATCGATTAAGCCGTTGCTCATTGAAACTTATATATAGAGATATACTTGGTCACAATAAAACTGATTTAGTGTGTATAAGGCTCGAACGTATTCTGGATAACTCTGTTGTAGTAGTTCCTAAAGCCTATCTGCTAGCTAACAAAACTTTATGTTTTTAAGATTGGTTGTTATCAACAGTTCCATAAATTATTAGAGCATAATATAAGGACATGTAGAAATCGAAAATCAATACACTTTTGGGAAAATTCGCTGACTTCTAAGACCCCCTTACATAGAGTTGTATGTATCACATTATTATGTATCAAATTTCAAATTTTGTCAGCCAGTCCAATAATAAATTGTCTGTAAGTTTATAATTTTATGAGATCGTTGTAAATGTCTTCACAATGAGATTGTTATTCTTACAACCGATTCTTCACCGTACCATCTCATGTTTCTAATTATTGGCTTCTCGTAAAATGTGTAGACGTGATATGACTCTGAGTAATTGATATTCTGCAACTATACGTCGAACCTAACACGAAAATAGGGTATTATTGAACCCTATCTTTCATTCAGTACATGACGTTTTTATATCAATCAGACGGTTTAGATATTATGTAATTGCTATTGTTGTTATAATTTTGATTCGAAGTTGTGATGCTTATAATCATAAAACACCTTATATTTTCATATAATAGTCAGCAACAGTAATTATTAAAGTTTAAAAAAGATTCAATGTAACTGCATAAACAAGTTTCGTCTACATCATGTTAAAGTATTTTTAACGTGTCTGCTTACTGTTTGTTTGCAATATAGATCGTCGTGCTCCTCTATGGCCTTTAATTGGTATTATCCTAGAGGTGGTAGTTTTGTTCATAATTATTTTAATTTATGAATTAAAACGCCGTGAGCGTACTAAACGGGAAGAAGCTGAAGAAAATTTGGTCACATCTAGCAAAACGCCAAATGCAGCATATGGAATTGATGAAGCGAGTGAGAATATGTAAGTTGTTTACTGAGGAGTAAATTTATTCCTGAAAGCTAATTATTTTCTAGTTATATCTTGTTTTTATAATATGGTGCTGGATATGTTTTTTTCTCTCAATTAAATTAGTTCAGAACCTTGTGCATCTTTGACCAAGATTGTTCAAATGTTGCAACTTAATATGCGCGCATGCATATGTTTCATCACAAATGAATTGAAGTTAAATGATAATCAGAAATTATAAACTGAAGTTTCGTTTGAATAATAATATTTCATAGATTATGGCTCCTTCCAGGTAAACTTCAGTTTACCAAGTTTTGCGTTAATAAATTCTAGTCATCTCTCTATAAGGATAACTGCGATAACTTATTTCTGAATCCACATTGACTTTTGATGCTGTTTGGTTGATTGTTGCCATTTTTAGTTCCTTAGTTTTGCTGTATCTCATAGTAATGTTTCCGTGTTTTAACACAATTATTGTGCCTCGGATTTAACTTTCTTGAATATCAAGCTTCTTCTGACTTCTTCCTGTCTTCCATCGCGCTGGGGGATTATTGTCCAAGTTCTGTATCAGTCATCCGATTTAACTAGTTGGCGTAAATCTTTATGTGTAAAAAGCGTACCCAATCGTTTTCAGTTAGAAGCGACCGTATTTCAATAAAAAACTTTACATTTCATTGCTGTGAGTATTTCAAGTTCAGTCATGATAAGCAACTCATGTTGCTGTTTTTAATTTTCTTACATCAGCTTCTGAGGTCCAGGCAATCAGATGTATCTTTTATAGACTACTAGTCATTGATCGGTAGATTATTTCTAACCGTGAAGAGAATTGAGTGATTATATGCATCTTGAAACATTTGTGAATATGAAGTGTATCTTCACAAATAAATACTGTCTGTGGTAGTCATCTAGTTATCTACACATTCTTATTTTCGTTTGTTGCTCCTCATTGTATTTAGTCTTACCCTCAAGTTATGGGAATTGTCAAAAGTTGCAAGTAGGATAAATAAATGGTTAGTAGATGCATGACTCCTATTCTTTAAGTTTTACTTCCATTTCAATCGAAGTAGAAACATAGTAATGCATAGTTTTCGGTTGTAATATTGAATTTAATAGTATGGAAAACACGGAATTGGCAGGTTTTTATTAGTTTACTTGTCGTATTAGTGTAACCAGTTTTCTTAAAACAATTACATCTAGGGAGATTATACGAACCTTTCTGGAAAAACCTGGATTAATAGATTTTAGGAATACGGAGTTTTTTAGAGATTTACTATGTCAATGAAAACACTTTTTAAGAGAATTAAAATGAGACTTAAAAAATCAATCCATATAATTACTTTTTAGCTCCTTTGCAATCGTTAAAATCCGATCATTTATAATCTGTACTTTTGTCTGCTTTAAAGTAGATTTTCATGTTACTATAAGATTAATGTTTCTACAAACATGTCGCTTACATGTTTATGTGTATAATAATGCATAGTCTGCTCCTGCTTCGGTTTGCGCGTCCGGTCAGTATTCCAGCCCTCGCACGAATCTTTCGATTTGTGTGGCGCTTATCTATTTGGTGCATCTCTGTACCAATGTTTATATGTCTAAATAATCTTGTTCCAGTTAAAATGTTCTTAATTTTACACTGAAGTTTTATTTATGCAACAATAATTTGGTGATCTCCAGAATCTCTCCTATTCCAGTTTTATTAACCATTTAATATAATTAGTTACTACACAAACCGTGTGAATCAAAGCTATGTATAGAAATCTGTTCTTGATAAACTAATTCCATAATTATAAGAATTACTTATAGTTGACATTTGATTTGTTTTTGATCACTTGGTTATTATTTTGTTTTCTTGGTTTACACTACATTCTCTAAACCAAAACAATAACAAACCACTATATTCCGATTGTTCCTAGTACACAAATTATATTTATTAACACAAGATACTATTACGTTAAATAATAGGTTAAATGGTGAAGCTTTGCATATGTATATTTTCATCATAATCCTTTCTTTTTGTTAAAAAATACTGTAGACTATATGGAACTATAACAGGATGAGCATAAAACTTAAAATGAAATAGACATGCTTAGAAATCTATATGTTATAGTTTAATATTTCAAACCTTTTTAAGAATAGAAGAATGTCGCTACTTTTTCGGAAACGCGTCTTATTTTATGTGTCAAAGTTGAAGTGGATGGTTCCTTAGGTGGTCACTTCCCAGTTTTCCATTTGAACATCTACCTACACAATAATAAAACACCCTTTTTATTCTCTGGTAATCATATTGTATTTGTTTTTCATCTTTTCATTGAGATCCAGAAGTTTGTGTATATCATTGATTCTAACCTCAGGACTTTTATCTTTAGTGAAACTGTCCTCATCGTTCAATCTGGTTTAAGCTGTATAGACATGAGCTTTTACATTTTCAAGTAACATCCTATCACATAGATATTGTGAATGGAACGTGTGCTGAAATTTAACTGTTTTGACAGTAGTTCAATAAAATCAGTATACTCTACGCGCTCCTGGCTACATATACTAGGGAATTTGTAATCATGATTATAATCAGTATTGATTTCTTCGCGTTATGTGATAATATCAGGAAACAATATCCGGGATATACTACAAAAGAGGTACATCATAATGGTTTATGGTTCGCCTAGCTCTATGCTATTTATTGTTTTCTATTTTTTGACATTTTCTTGCCTTCTTTTCCAGGTTATTACGACAACGAGGTGATCGTCACTAGGACAACATTTCGAAATTCCATCATCATTGTATTAAACCATTATACACAAAATCCAATGTATTTTCACATACACATACGCTTTCTATGATGGAACTTTGTTTTTATTTTTTTCCTTTTCTCAAAATATTATCCACTATACAGTAGCAATTTTCTTATTTCATTATTATGTATTCTACAGATTATGTTATTTATTACGTAATTATCTTTCAGATGGTTTTCATATTATCATCATTCATTCGACATAATATTTCAACATTGATTGATGCTCATAGTGCATTTTTTTTCTCCAATGGTTTCCTCATATTATTATGATCCTCGAATGTTATATATACTACTGTCGGATCACTACTCATTCTTATCTGTATAAATAGAAATTATTCATATAATTACAAATTTCTTCATCCGAATTCATACACAATTATACGCTTTGCATATCATAATACACTATATCTTCCCTTTAATATTATGATTTTATCTTTTCCAATAAAATATCCATTTAAATTGTTATACGCAATGATTTTTTAAAAAAAAGGAAATGAATTATTAGTTTGTGCAAATATCTTTTCCTTAAGGATTTATTCCTATTGAATTCCATCGTTCTTTTTTTATTATTTCCCTTTCGTATTTCTCTTTTCTTTTCTTCATACCTATCTCCCTATACTTTTCATATTATTATTATTATTATTATTATTATTATTATTATTATTATTATTATTATTATTCATTTATCTCCTATAATCTCTAGTCACTTATGAATGCATTTCCATGATAGTTAGAGATTTAGATTACTATTATTATTAACACGCCCAATAAATTATTACTATTATCATTGTTAATATTATTATTTTGGACTATTATATAAAGACTGTTAATTTAACATTCTATATCTCTTAAAAACATATACATGCACATTTCTTTTTCTTTGCCTTTATTCACAAAATTTCCTCTTTAAAAAATTTTTTACCTTGTTAATATTCAATTAATAATATTTTCCTTTGTTCAATTGTTTAATATAACAAAAAAGGAGAATACATTTTTAGTATATAGTAGTTTATAGGAGTGTATCTGTTTTATTTCTTAATGAGTTTATTTAAACTTGCATGTTAATTTGGGGTTTTTTGGTTTATTTTGTGCGTAACATCGATATGGAGTTGAAGCAATAGATTTCTAGTTAGGCGAAAGCTCCTTAGTGTTGTATCTTTTTTTTTTAACCAAATGAATTGTTTAAAGCTTTGATTGTTCATAGTTGATTGACGTTATTGATTTAGTTAAAGGGTTTTTTTGGAGATTAGTTTGATTTGTTAGTTGGTAATTTTCACAAAGCACTAGATAGGCATTTCGTTCTAGTACGAAATCCTCAGCATAAATAAACCTAGGATGAACACAACCAAAAAATTTGATCAGTCTTCATGAAACCATTCAACTATAATATTTAGCTCACTAGCGACCTATTTAAAGAAAGTTTTAGTAAGAAGTCATGGAGTTTAGAGATGACTAAAATTAGAAATGTAAACCACTGGATACCAATTCAGTTATCTGTAGTCTAAATGTACGCTTTGAGCTCTAGAGGTTACGGATAAGTACTGCTAAGTCTTATGTTAGCATGAAACAGATGTCCAGTGCTCCCTGGTTCTTTCGATGGTATTCTAACAGATTAATTTTTGACGAATAGAACCTATTGGACTATTGGTGTGAACCTTCAGTAAATCTAAGATAGTGATAGCTTGGTGTTGCTAGTGAAGAAAGTTTCTCGTGACAAAGACCTATTACTGCATACTCTTTGATATTGGGATGGAACCTAGAAGTGATAATCCCTTGTTCTTTCATGATTAAATACTTTTGATTTCTCCTGCAACCCAGATAGTCCATAAATTACTAGTGTAAAGTGAGATTTTCATCGTTACCTGTATTTCATTTGAAAAGTTGCTTTTTGTTAATGTAAAAGTAAACTTTCTAGATTAACTAAATTGTTCGTTGCAGGTGAAATTAAAATTACTCTATACCTTTCTTTCTACGAACTAATTCTTTCTTCCTGTGTTATATCTTTATACACCATCTTCCTTTTATATACTACTACTATTAAAGTGACTACTATGAATTTGGTGTTCATGTTGTTGTGCTAATGAGATTTGGCATATATGTGCCTGGTCCTACGTTGTAACTGACTGACTCATTGCGGCTGATGCTATTGATTTTACAGAAATCACCATGAAAGACATATGGAGTTCATTTTCATAAGTTGTTTCCAATTTTAAGTGTTAATAAATGATTGTAGCTTTTAAAATACTTTGATTTATCTTTTATGTCTGTTCGTATTTCTCCTACAAGGATTAATTTACTACATAATCAAGTAGGCCACATTGCTTAATAAAATACATACTTTGGTATTACAATCTGTTATAAATTTGTTAAATTATTTATTCTTGAGGATATTCTTAGTGAAGACAAATTGCAAAACACTTATGAAGTATCAGGTACTTTTAATTATTCTGTCAAGTAAGGTACTCGTAGTAAATTTAAAAGTTGAAACATTGCTTCATGAACGTAATTTGATTAGAATTGATAATAGTATTTTCAGAATGTGTTTTGTGGAGATTTTTAGAAATTTTCACAGATTGAACTCATGAGTCAGTTGAAGCTAGACCACCATTGAAAACCTGAAAGCACTGGACGGCCGTTTCGTCCTAGTATGGGACTCCTCAGCAGTGCGCATCCACGACTGACTTCAGGAGACACTTCTGGAGTTCTAGCGAGAAGTCGTTACCAGTGGAGTTCAACCAGGTCTGTTGTGAGATAGGAACTCACTGAAGACAATGGTGTACGGTAGCGCAACTTCGTGGATTGGTTGAAGTTAGACATTAACACCGTTGGATGCCGGCTCAGTGGTCTAATGGTTGAGTGCTCGCGCGCGAAGCCAGTAGGTCCTGGGTTCGAGCCCCGGGTGGTGCGGGGTCGTGGATGCGCACTGCTGAGGAGTCCCGTACTAGGACGAAACGGCCGTCCAGTGCTTCCAGGTTTTCAATGGTGGTCTAGCTTCAACTGACTCATGAGTTCAATCTGTGAAAATAGTATTTTCATGATTTTCATTATCTGTTTGTGACTATATTATAATGTATTAGTATGTAAACTATGTGCATCAACAAGTTTCAGAACGTTTGTCAGCCATCACAGTTTTACAGAAGTGTAAGGAAATTAATAAAATTAAGCACAATGAATTTTCAAGATGACAGCGATATTATAAAAATAAGAGTAACTCTGTGAATGAAAAACTAGCATCCAGTTGAACGGTATGCAACTAATATATGCTAAGTCTATGGACTCACATCTCTACTGATAAAAACGGTCACATCTAGTAGTTCTTTAAACTATTTTGAAGCGTAAGCTTGTAATCTGGTTAAAAGTTTACACTCAAATTATTTGAACTGGGTCGTTTTCATGTAAATGTTATTTTTTCTGTGAATCCCGTCAAGTTGTCTGTGATTCTGTCGTGAATGTGTTGTAATATTCAGGAGTATTATAAGAAATTCAGTACTTGTTTATATACAGTGAAAGTTTTGTTTATTATTTTATTTTAAGAATGTAGTACCAGTAGACATTAGTCTTACTGCTTTTATGCGGAAAAACTTATTGCCAATTTTAATATAGTCTCACTCAAAATAGCCTAAATGATTTTAAAAATAATCAAACATTCATTGTACTCATAACTTATCTACATTTCGTTAAAAATAAGAGAAATTTATCATCTAGGGAAATGAGAGAATATAATCGATTAGAATTTACTATACACACGATGCATTTTTGTTAATATGTTGGAGGAGATATTCAATCATCAACAATAACTGTTGTTATGACAACAGACAATTGACTTTTTCTAAATTAACAAATAAGCGTGCTTAAAAGACATAAACTAACAATACACTTCAAAAAAATATAAGCTTAAGTGCAGTTTTTGTTGAATAGAAAAGCATAATAATAATAATGTGCATGCAAAAGGTATTTGTGTATGAAATGAGTTGGTCAGATTTGTTATTATAGTTGACTTTCATTAAAGTCATTTATTTGCCTCCTGTAATATGACTTTTATTTAATCATTCAGTCTCTGGTACTTTTGAACTGGATATAAGATAATGTATATCGAAAATTAATATAGGAGAGAAATATATACTTGTTTACCCGCTAGTGATAAATGGATAGATTGTTTACAATAACATTTTATTTTTGTAATCAATTAAAAACTTTTGAGTTCTTCTTACCTATTTGAATGAACGAGGAAATTGGAGGTAACTTTTGAATTATATTACTAACTAACTAACTATATATATATATATCGGTTTCAATTTACAATTCTAAGAACTTACAGTAAATAAACTGTTCAACATTTATTACTGACATTAATTAACTATTACTTAATATGCAAACTTATTTACCTGTGCTAATTTGGAAAAAAACGTTAATTGTCTGTTGTCATAACAACAGTTATTGTTGATGATTGAATATCTCCTCCAACATATTAACAAAAAATGCATCGTGTGTATAGTAAATTCTAATCGATTATATTCTCTCATTTCCCTAGATGATAAATTTCTCTTATTTTTAACGAAATGTAGATAAGTTATGAATACGATGAATGTTTAATTATTTCTAAAATCACTTAGACTAGTTTGAGTGAGACTTTATTAAAATTGGCAAAATTATATGTGAATCATGTAATTATATCAATCGTTTACATTTTTGTTAGAAAATTTTCTTAAATACAAGAAAATGTCATAGTTAGTTTTATAGGTTATCGCTATGCATACTACTCATAGACGGTTTAATATTAACTTGTTTAGATAATCTATGTTGATGACTTATTGAACGTTTCAGAATGTAACAGTTCACTGATGTATTTTAACTTAAAAATTGTCCGCGTTAGTTGATAAAGTTTGATTTTCAAATTTCTGATATGATCATCGTTGTAGGTAAGGTACAAGCTTGATGTTATTTATTTCGATAACTGGCTAAGATTTTAGAGAATCACTGCATCATACAAGGCTATTTTGATCGTCTTGGTTAAAGATTTTTGCTTGGAAGAAGAAGAAGACGAGACAATTCTCCAGTACTTTCTGGTTTTTATTGGTTGTCTAACTGGTATTAGTTTGCGATGTAAATTATAAGATTCAATAATCTCTACGATCTTCTATACTATGTACTAACTAATTTATCCAGTGGTTCTGTCTTTTCATGAGACTAAAAGTTCTAGGGACTGAAATCATACAGGATTGTAAATATATATTAATGATGAATAACGAACTATGACATAACCTATGTTCACTGCTCTAAATCTCAGTTTATGTAAATTAATCATAAGATATGATTTACAAAATAATTAATCTTGATAAATCTTCTATACTTATAATAACACAAATAAATGTAGTAATTTATCATATCATTCAAATAACTAGATTAATTATGATAAAAATAAGATTAATAAATATATTAGATTAGTACATATGTTAGATTATTCCATTAACATTTGTGATCCGATCAGTTAGTAAAGGATGGAGAAGTACAAAATGATAAAATTTATTAATAATGACAAAACTAGAGCCTTTGTTTGATTGGTTGATTATTCTCATTGTTTTTTTTTAAAGACGATAATTTAGTTAATTGTATATGACAGATGATTCTATTTTTATAAGAAGTATTGTA